CATCCAGTTGAATAATTTTGATTAATATTCCTTTTGATTTTACATAAAATAAAAATTATCAATAAAGAAATAATTACGTCTCTTTTCATATAATGCTTGAGTGCGCTGTGAAAAATCCAATGAAAATCTTTTTATATTACACATATTATCTGCATTTTTCCCGTTAAACTGCAAAACTTGTGCATTTCACTCGTTATTATAATAAAGTTTCCCTAAGTATGATATAGCATTTGCGATCAACAAGATGTTGGTTCTGAATACGACCCTGGCCAATTCTTGGGATTTTCAATATCACGTGCATGTCAATGTTTACATCCACTCTATCTTGGATTTGAATTTGCTTTAGAATACTAGAATAAAAGAGACAGCTCCATCTGATAAGTACTCTTCGATATACTGTAGTAAGTTTCATATCAGAAATTGTTTTATTGTCCTTAGGAACCTCTTAGTGAGGATGCTTTTCAGGATGAAAAATACTAATCCACACTTTTTTTATAATTCCTGACTTTTTTTAACCGGTTATATTGTATAATAAGATTATCTTTTAAGTGAGCATTATGTGAATTAGTATTGCATACTATATAATAGGTGCTTAGATTCATCTTTATACATTCAAGGCATTCGTAGATATACTGTGTTGGAACAGCTGCGATTTCTAGTTCCCTAAACCATATTTTAATATCTTCTCCAAAAGTTAGATGTAGCAATTTGTCTCTGAATACCAAAATAATCACAGTAAAAGTCTTCATAAAGAAATAATGACTAGAAGAGCGCAAAGTATACCTTCAGTAATACCTCAATAAACATTGTTTCCCAAGTTTTTCAAGAGATACTCAACAATGTGATAGGTTATCTACGTGAGATTTCCGAGTTGAAGTAGAATCAATAACTAATCCAAGAATTCAACATTTCAGTTGGTTTCAGTTTCATGATGTCTCAAAAACAATATATACATTTTTGAGTCTTTCAAACACAGTCTGTTTCAGTTGAACCATTCAACAGCTTTTGTCTGTTTATGATTTTTTCTTGTAGTTCAACAGGATAATTTTATTTCTGTCAGTGTTGTGTCATCTATAAAGAGAACCACCCCAGTGTTCAGCACCACCTGTGGAAAATCAATCATATAGATCAAAAATAGTAACGGGCCCAGCAACAAGCCCTGAGAAACCCCATGCAGTACTGATAAATCAGAAAAATATTTATTGGAGTTTGCTTTCTGTTATTTACGGAGAAAGTGACAAGCTGAATTATTTTTGCATCGAAGACAAATTTCTCAAGTTTCGATAACAGAAAATCAGTCATCAGTCAAATGCCCTTGATAGGTCACATAATAACCATTCAACAAACTTTTTGTCAAAACTGGAATAAATAGTAGATATAAGTTGACTTATTGCTAGAGCTGTGGATTTGTTATTAGGAAAAACCTTATGTGGAATTAAGTTTGTTATTTTCAATTTACGTATTTTTCCATAAATATTTGACGAGATAGGTGGTAGTGATCTCACCTTGTATGATGCATAATTAACAAGTATGAAGTGTGCTAAGGTGGGTTTTTCAATACTTTGTATCAATTTATTTAAAATATTGAGAAATTTGATTGAAAATTTTACCTCTGAAAACAATTTTGTATGGTAAGTGTTGTCATCATCCATGAAGTAAACAATTCCTCTATCTCTACCAATTTGAAGATTATTTCTTATCCAGGAAAGGGCCATATTTCTTTGTTCGACTCCCCGATGACGCTTCCATCTTGGGTCCTATAAATTGATTTTTTTTCCATACATATAAATGCCTTATTTGCTCAGAGACTAATTTACAAAATCTGCCTAAAAAATGAGGTGAATAATATTCCTTTTTCCCAAACAATATTTTTATCTACTCAATCGTCGCGAAACGCCGTCCTTTCATGGGTCGCTTTGATATTGGGAACATGAAAAAGTCGCAGGGGGCCAAATCTGATGAATACGGTGGCTGAGGCAGAATTACGGCGTTGTTTTTGTTAAAAATATTACGAACAAACAATGACGAGTGAACAGGTGCATTATCGTGATGTAAAAGCCATTCGCATTTCTTCTTGCAAGCGGCGCATACCTAATTTCGAAATAATACTCTTTGTTCACACGAACACGTAGCAAGAACTCCTGGTGCACTACTCCATGGTAATTGAAGAAAACAGCGAGTAAAACCTTCACATTTGATCGAACTTGGCGTACTTGTTTGGTCTTGGGTCTCCTGGGCTCTTCCATAGGAACAATTGGTCTTTGCTGTCGACGTCATAACCATATGCCCATGACTTGTCACTAAACATGCAAAACAGCTGAAACTGTAAACATATGTTCGAGACGAGTGTACCAACATAAATTAAAAAAACCAAATGTACGTAGCCCGCGAAATTTGAACATTCACCTTATTTTTTTAACAGACCTCGTATGTAACTCAGTAAGTGTCAATTTTAAGATGAAATACCTAAAAATATAAATAATAACACATACAAATCATTTGTCAAAACTTCTCCTTACGATAAACAAATAGAGAAATGTCATCGTATCTTATTTTTCACAGGTTTGATTTGATAGTAGAATTATGACACCCTGAATTTCATGAGACAACTCAAATGGATATGTAAATCAAGTACAATGAACATATTCTAAAGACCGAAATGAAAAATGAATTGACAATGTGGTGTCAATTCATTAATTCACATAACTTCAAGAAAATAAGACAACAATCTTTCAATGAAAACCCCTTGAATACCAACAATTTATATAAGATATTCAAAATTCTCAAGAATATAATGGAATGTTTTTTGTATAATAAGACATTTTTAATTCAAATGGAAACATTATCCCATTCTCATGAATTTCAATGAAATCAATGCGATATATTGGTAATGCATCTAGCCGCGTTGACTAGCTATTGTTGACAAATACGACTTTACTTGTTTGCATATTCTGTTCATATAATTGAACAATATATTTTCAAACAAATGTTCAAGCTGAAATTTCTTGTTATTGAGGTAATAAAGGAGGTGGGAATGTGGACCCCATTTTGTTTTTGAGGTCTAGCGTGAAAAGTAAAAGGAATACAAATCTGAATAACACATCACCGGGTATCGTATTTATTTGGCTATATATAACTTACTATGGAATGAAGAAAATGCAACAGTATATTAAAAAATCAATGTATTCTAACAAAGTATCAATTTAAAAATTTGAGATCAAGTGAGGGTTACACGACACCCTGGGGCCAACTTAAATATACCGAACTCAACCGACAAAAATCGCAGATGTAATATTCGACTTCAAGGACTTGTACAATCAGTGTACAGTCGTAATATAGGAATGTAGGCTTTCACAGCTGACGTCAATGTTTTGGTTGGTTTCCGGGTTTTCCGTGGTCTTCTTTGGTTATAATCTCCAAACGTTTCAACCGCAACTGCGGCAGTCATTCTCAGTGGCGTTGTCGAAGTACTCTTATTGACATGTCAACTGAAACTGAAGCTTTCATTTCTGCCATGTCATTTATAATGCTGATTTTTCGCGCACTTTCACTAATGACGGGTTCGTGCATACTTCCCGCGCGATTTGAGTGACTTGTCTTCGTTTTGGTGCTTTTCAATGTTGTGTGCCAGATCTTTGGTCCTGTGTCCTCAGGTACTAGCGATGGACGGGCAATATGTTCATCACATTCAGAAAAGTCGGTTCCTATGACTTCTTTATTGTCGGAACTAGTGCTGGATATCACGTCTTTTTGGTATCGGTCGGAACTGCTGGCGTCATCCTCTCCACCATTTCGGCTACTTAGAAGGCCGCGTCAATGTTAGCGCCCACGTCCACGCCAACGTCCGCTTCCACGTTTACATTCGCACAATTGATTTTTGTAGCGTGAAGACGTTATCACTTTTGCTGTCGTAGCTTTTCTTCCTCGGTTTGATGTCTTGGCTATAATCTCAGGGATAGGCTGAATGTCTTGCGACAAAACAAAATTGCTTTCTGACTCGTTAACTGCAGAACTTCCTCCCGGAATGTCTACATTAAAAGGAACGCACTGTATGATGTTTTTGCAATAAAATCAACTTCAGTAAAATTCTGCGGATCGAACGGATAAATGCCAATGGCACGAAACCTGTTCACTGCAATTTCTCCTGTAGTGCTCTCAAGATAAGCTCGGCCAAAAAGCTCAGCAATGTCGTAAGCCTTCAGCATTCTTTCTTAATTAAACATAAACTTGCGAATCTTCTCTCTGTAGTGACTATTAAGGGCACCCATGAGAGTCTTATCTAAACATCTAAATTGCGAGTGTGATTATAATGTCCACGAAGAATTAGAAATACAGTAGGATTTGTTTTTTCAATAAAATATCTGAACCATTCGGTAAACAAATTACCTTGGATCCAACCTAATGGATGAACTTTGCCAATAAATCCCGGGGGAGCACCTTCCATTAGAGGGTCCGTATAGTTTTTGCGAGGGAATATTAACATTGGTGTCACGAAACTGCTCGATGCACTCATGCAGCAAACAAGTGTGCATAGTGATCCTCGTTCTGCAGCACTCAAAGCCCCTATCTGTTTTTTTATCAACGACTTGTGGTATTTTTAACTGCACAATAGTCAGTAATTGACTTTTTTCATTTCAGCCTCCAATAAAACAAAAAATTCTTCAACCGCTTCACGTTAATCAAACATAATATCTGACTCTCCGCAGCTAACACTTGATATTTACACAATTATTGCATTAAATGTAGCACAATAACAAACTTTTGGTCAGTACAGGTTTGAAATGGTACAAAAAACACGAGGATGTGCTGCCTTCAGATTTTTTTGGTATTATTTCAAAGTTGACATATTTTGTTTGTCCCTTGGGGGCTATCTGACTTGTCCATTTAGTCCAAGTCTCCAGAAAACACTGCAGCCTCTTGGGCTTATCGCGTTTATTCTCCCATCTTCTCATGACCCCCATTCCATCAGTCTCGTTCCCTGTACTAGTTTGTACAGGTTCCGTGTTGGATGTTCGCCATATTCTTCTGGACCTAATTTTGTATGTCCATATATTGCCTGCCTCCTGTGATTCAGTAAAAATATAGCGTCAGTAGTGCTTTTCGAATTTTGAAAACCGAATTGACATTGCGACAATATGTTATATTTCTGTAAGAACTTCATCATTCTCTGTTCAACGAGTTTTTCTATGATCTTCGATAGTGTAGACAAAAGGGAAATTGGACGGTAATTTGATGGATCGTCATTTGCACCACCTTTGTGAAGTGGGATTACTAATGCTTCTTTCAAAAAGGATAATTATAGCTATAATTTTTTTTGAGAAAAACTGTTGAGAGAACTGATAACTACTACAAATATATAATTAATCAATTTAGATTTCAACATTTCCTGAATAAAAAATTTTCAACAACTTACCAGAAAATGACTCAACACACTTTCCTGTTCCTCAGCCTCATAACCAGAAACCAGAAGTCTAGTAGGTCGATGATCTACGGTGTGTTTTGGAAAAGCATTAAGAGCTCCTGATGAAGGTATTCTATTCAACTGGTGGGTCTTAACAATTCCTTTTGGCTCTGAAAGTAAAATAATGTTGCAGTAATGTCTTCTTTCATCAATAAGAAATCATGAACTTAACGATGATTCAAATCATAAAATTTGCTTTTACACCTTCTACCACTACAGCATAGGACCAGATAAATCGAACATAGAAATAATATAGAGTTAAATTTATGGATGTAGCCGTTACTACGTGGTAGGAGATGATCATGAAAAATGATAAATAAAACTTCCTGTTTTCAAACCACCTGTATTTGTAACTAAAGTTACTGCAGTAATGGCAGCAATTTTTTTTCTTCATAAATTGACGGATGTAGCCGTTACTACTTGGTAGATTACCATGAAAAATGATAAATAAAATGTTTTATGTTTTCATACCACTTGTATTTGTAACTGAAGATACTGCAGTAATGGCAGCAACATTTGTTTTTCATGAATTGATGGATGTACTACGTGGTAGGAGATCACAATAAAAAATAAAACTTCCTATGTTTTGATACCACTAAAGTTATAGCCGAAGTAAACAATATTGTGCACATTTAGAGGTGGCGGCACTTTCAAAGGTCAAAAAAACAAAAAAATACAAATGAACCAGCAGCGAACTAGTCCACATGGATTGTAGACTTGGCGGTTCGTATTGTACAATTTTTACTGAGTTTTATGGTTGGCTGAAGAATCATAAAATTAAATTTGAAGTCATGTTCCGGTGACGAATTGAAATCGAGGACGGTTATCGCCGTCGTGTTCAGTTCAGGAACTGATCGCGCTTTGAGTATTGAAATTCAATATTGGTGCAGTTATAATTTCTTAAAATTTTTCTTATCTGTTTAAAATGAGGCCTCATTGGATAAGCACTAATAGTAATAACGAGTGTGATAACAACGCAGACTTTTTCCAGTGTAGTAATTCCAATAGCGATGGTGAACAATGTATATAAGAATCTACATCTCAAGTTTGAATTCAAGGGAAACAAACTATTACAAGCAACATCAGATTTGACCGACCAACAACAGAAGCCAACCGCACATTTGTGGTTCCAGTTAGAAGACCTAGAATTTCCAGGCTACATCTAACATGACCACGTAGGCAGCTATAGCTACCTGCAGTTATTTTCGTTTCATTTAGACAGGCTTTTTGAGGTGAAAACACAATTTGTTTTACACCAATATTTCTACTTATGCATGTATCGGTTTCTTTGGTTTGTATATATTTCTGTACTAAGTGGTTGGATGTTTGGGTGGATATTGATATTGTTGATTTGTTTTGGAATGTTTCTAAGCTATGTTTGAGTTCACTTATATACTGCTTTGCTTCTTCTATACGCTTTTCTTGATTTTTTATCATTTCATTTGCTTCGTCTTCGGATTTGAGAGCTTCCTGCATAAAGGAGTCCATTTCCTTTTTCATTTTGTTGATGTGTCTATCTTTTGCTACACGATCCTCTGAGAGTTCTTCTATCGTGTTTTCCAAAATACTAATTTCAAGATCACGTTCATTGATGGGATGTTGTTTTTTTAACGTATCATCACAGCATATAATTTGATGATCCTTCAAGAATTTAACTTGTATTAACACCATTTTTAACGAGCGCACTCGACTTTATCATTGAAAACTTGCTCCACAAAGTTGACGAGTTCTAAATTTTTGATTTGTCTTCTAGATAGACTGGGAAGACGGTTCCGCTGATATTTCCTTCAACGTTTCTAAGTCGTGAAATTGCTCAACTGGCTACGTTCGTTTCGCTTTTTCAGTCACAAAATAAAACCTTACTTTTAACACTCATATTAGCTATTATTATTATAGCTTCTGTTTGTTCATTTTCAGGTTCTCACATACGTCGCAGAGATAACCCAGCCTCACTTACGTGGAACTCGGGTTCTATTCCTGGAATATTCTCAATAGAATATACCTTACATATTCTAAGAATATTATAAGATATTCCAAGAATATTCCCAAGGAATATTCATAGCATAATACAATATCCTTAAATGTATATTCATGAAATATACCTGGAATATCTGTTACTATGTGGGATGTAAAATTTATTTAGGACAATTAAGACGCAGGTACCTAGCAGAGGTATCTATGGTATAAATATAAGGACAATAGTGTATGTAATTTAGTTCAATCTTCCTCTTGAAGATGATCACTTGGTGATTCAAACACGTATCAAGGTGTTAAAAACAAAAATAAATGTCGCTCATTTCGCAGCTTATTTTTTTCAGTATAACACAAATTTGTAGTACCTTTAGGGTATACTGGGTACAGTTGAGATACAGATCGGTTAAAACTGTGCAAATATATCGTAAACGATTAAGCGGGTATTGAGGGGTTCTAGAGGAAAACGAAGCGGAGGACAGGTCCGAACATGAATTTATTGCCACGCAGCTTCCCGCGTGTTTTCGTTGTATGCAGGACGCCATATTGTTTCTTATTACCCTAAAATAAGAATTTTTCTTCTGACTTATATGCTTACACTTTCTGTTATTTTTAAGTGAATGTATTGAGTGTGCATGTGTGATTATTATGACGCTTGTAGAATAAGGGATGGTTACTATTTTCAATGTGTTATTCTTACTATCGTAACTATAAAGCATATTTTACCAAACATGGTTTTGGGGACGATTGAAACATTTTTGTGGGTAGTCTTTTGTAGATGCCAAAAGTTCGTGTAAGGAACACTTCCCGAGGGTAAATTGATTTATCGCGCTATGGTAGGCTTATGAGGAGGTAAAAACTGGAGATTCACTGCGGAAAGCGGCGGGCAAGTATGGTATAAACCTCTGTTCCCTGTTGAGATACATTCGAAAGCGAGATGCGTCCAGCAAAGACGATCCCAACATTCAATCCAGCTTTCGCAAAGCGGGAATTCACCCATATAACCGGAATCTGTTAATTGAGACCGATATTATGCTCCTGCATTTGTGACAGATTTTAATCCGGACAATACGCTCAAATGCTGTCTGACGGTCCTTCCTCCGTCAAAAATACAACTGACGATTTTCTTCATTATTTTGATCGTATAAAAATTTATATTTATAAATTTCGTAAGGTAAAAAATAAATGTATTTGTCGAATTTTCAATGAGGTTCTTGCACATGATTGCCATGTAATACCCCTCGTCATAGCAGCTGACAATTATTGTTTTAAAAAATGTTATTGAAACAATAATTTAATGCTTTTTTTGCTCACTACCTATATATGAAGTTGATGATCCGTGTCTAGCGCATTCATCAGCTTTATCATTACCTGTGATTCCTGAATGCCCTGGCACCCAGTACAAAGTTAATTTGTTCCTGTTTGCAAGTTCATTCAGTTCTTCATGGCATTCCCAGATCAGTTTTGATGTCACCTTCGGGTTTGTCAGAGCCCCTAGTGCGCTCTTGCTTGACATATTAGGTAATGTTCCGTTTTAAATGGAATATCGAAGGGGGCCACAATACCTATGAGGATCACATTACCACCTTCTTCTCTAACATTTACGACTTTTGTTCTCATAATATATTCTTGTTCTCATTAGCATATCATAAACAAAAGACGTAGACAAGATGAATGAAAACAGACCAAGTTCTAAATTTTTGTGGGTAATAATTGACAATAAACCTAAATTCGCCAATCACATTGTAACTGTCAATAAAAAGCTAGCTTCAAGATGCTTTGCGGTGAGAATAACTTATAAGAAACTTGATTTGTTGGCCGCTATATCAGCATATTTCTCACTCATTGATTCTCATTAAGGCACGGAATTCTTTTCTGGGAAGTATGTTGGAAAAAAATAGCTATAAGATTCATGTGTAATGTCAAAAGTCGAGACTCCTGCAAACCCTTGTTTGGAGTACATACAATTTTGACAGTCTTTGTATTTTTTAATTTTAGAAATTGTATGATTAACAAACATAAACTGATATTTAGCGACTACTCCAATAATTACACCCTTCATCATTAAAAGTAAGTGATAACATGAACTGAAAATAGACATGTAAATAACAATAACCTAATACAAACATTCAAAATATAAGAACATGGTCAATAAAATTAAATGAATCAATGTAAACTGAATTGAATCAAATCAATAAAATACCGTAGATATTATAGTTAGCTAGTGACCTAAGATTACCCACACCAGCCTCTACTCTAGTCAAAGACTCCTTTTAGTATAATAGTCTTAAGATGTTCAATCAATTACCTGACCATATCAAAAGTTTGAAGGATGACTTTAAATTTCTGAAATCAGTAAAAGATTTATTATGTGGTAGACCTCTAACTTATTTTATCATCTGTATGGTATGGTTCAAGAGGAAGATAAAACACCTCGACGCGTGTTTCGATCACCAAGTGATCATCTTCAAGAGGAAGATAAAACAGTTGTATCTTCCTTTTGAAGATGATCACTTGGTGATCGAAACACGTGTCGAGGTGTTAAAAATATCAGAAGAGTCACCTATACCTTGGACCCAAATTGTATAACAAGCTAGATGTTTCTATTAAGGACTCAATGAACATCTGCATTTTCAAAAGACAATTGAAAAAATATCTTATCGAAAGAAACTGCTACACCGTTGACGAGTTTTATTAGTTACTCTC